TGGATTTTTTTTTCCACATTCTGTCTCTCACAGTTGAAGTGTACCACTGGTGCAAATTACTGACCTCTGTCATCATTTTAAGTGGGGGAACTTGCACAATCGGTGGCTGACTAAATACTTTTTTGCCCCACTGTATATGCTTTAGATGCTTCCAAACTGTGGCTACTTTATCTGTGGAACCCATATTGATTTCGAAGAAAATTTTAAGATCCTTTGTTAACTCCTCACTAAAACATTTGTTCTGCAACAACATCATGTTAAGCCTCCAGCAACCCCTCTTCGTTCTATCTGTGTTTAAATCAATTTGCAACTCTACTGTGGCATGATCACTAATGACAATGGCACCAATCTCACAGTCGACGACTGAATCGACCAGAGACTTTGATATTAAGGCGAAATCTATCCTCGAATATGTTTTATGACAATTGGAGTAAAATGTATATTCCCTTGAACTGGGATTAACTAACCTCCAAATGTCCACTAGGCAAAGATCCTCTGTCAGTAAATGAACAGCCTCTCTGTCCCTGGGTGTAGACGTACCCCTGGGTTTGCTCTTATCAATTATCCCATCCATCACCTGGTTGAAATCCCCAGCCAATATTACCTGCCCCTCATGATCCCCTATTATCTTGTTAATTTTGTGAAAAAAAAAAAAAAAAAAAATCTGGCTCTGCTTTATTAGGTGCATAAATATTACACAAAACTGTTCAAACCCCATTAATTAAGGCCTCCAAGCAGATAATGCGCCCTTATTTATCATAAAAAAGCTTAGTTTTTTATTAATAAGGATCAAAACACCATTTTGTTTACTCGAATATGAACTATGAAAAATGGAGCCCACCCAGTCTCGTTTAAACTTTTTTGCCTCTTCTTCCCCAGCAATGTGGGATTCCTGAATAAACGCTATATCTGTATTTTTAGATTTTAAGTATGCTAGAACCTTCTTCCTCTTAATTGGGTCCCCACATCCGTTTATGTTCCACGATATTATTTTAGTATACCTGTTCATCGCTTTCTAATAGAAATGGGTTAAGGCACACCTTGTGCGCTTTACAACACAACACAAATATATACATAGGCACTTAATATTACAAAACCCATCTGGTCCTATCAAACTAGCCGTCATTAAAAAAAACAAACAAACAAACCTGAACAAAACCAACACCCTTCTTTGCACAGCAAACCAAAACAACGTTGCTAAGCGCCCCCTCCCTCCCCTCCTACCCAAGCCTAACCAACTTTAGCTTGAGACACCAAACTGTCCGTGGTCCGTGAGACACGCTAATCGTCCGATAGCAGCACCGCCGCCGCGGCCCCGTTGTGCCCATTTTTTATTTGTTACCTTATTTTAAAATTCACATACACTTCTCCGATCTGTTACATCATGTCCCGCACTCCTCTAAGTCGACTCCTGCAGAAATTTTTCGGCCTCCTTTCCGTCTTTGAATGCTTTCTTTTGTCCGTTCCACGTAAAAATGAGTGTTGCAGGATACATCAGCCTATGCTTCACTTGTAGCTCTCGGAGACGCTTCTTGACCGGGTTGAATGCCTTCCTCTTCTCCGCCAGCTCCCTTGTAACATCTTCAAAGAAGGAAAGCTTGGCGCCTTGCCAATCGACTCCACGCTTCTCTCTGGCCACCCGTAATACTTTCTCCCCAGCAGATGAACGTAGAAAGCGGACATGTATCACCCTGGGAGGCTCGTTAGATTCCGGCATTGGTACAGGGGAACGATGGGCGCGTTCAATTTCAAATTCACTTCCAGAAAGCTTAAGTGCTTTGGCCAGAATCTCCGTCACATATTTGTCCACGTTCCCGGGTGTCTCCACAACTTCTTTAAGTCCAATAATCCGTACATTGTTCCTCCTGCTACGGTTTTCAAGGTCCTCCACTCGTGACCACAACGCCTCCATCCTTTTCTGGAATTTGTCCACTTTTGCCTCGGTAAGCACGCTGGCATCTTCCATGTCTGAG